CATCAGTCACAGCAGCTCAAAGCTGCTCCATTTTCTCCCAAAGTGCTCCATGGAAAGGTAATGTTAATAAAAGTTTCCAGCTGGAATGGAGCCTATAAAACACTGTTGACCTGTGAAAGTTCACCCAGGCTCTTAATGCCCAGCATGGGCAAATTCATCTTTCCTAATGCTTTGGTGGAGAGTACAGAGTGATGGGCTGGGGCCCCTGCAGAGGAATTTTTAGCCAAGATTGTGCCAAAAAGCCTGTGTGGTACTCACTGTTAGCCACAGGTGTTCTTGGGGAGCAGTGGGGCCACCCCGGGATGTCTCAGATGCCCCACTGGCTGCCAGGTGGCAGCAGTGCAGGGCAGAGAATGAGAAGCAATCCAGAAAATCAGATTCGTCCTTAAAAAACCCAAAGCGTTTCTCTGCCCTTTGCCCGGGGCCACCAGCAGTCAGGAACACCGGGCTGGGGAGGAGCCAGCAGATTTTGGGTACAGGCTTGGCCCAGGGGATGCTCGGGGTTCAGGAAGGGACACTGAGCTGCAATGTGTGTGAGAAAAAGGATGAGCTGGTGGTGCTGAACTTGATGCATTTCAAGATTTCCCTACGGATCTCCTGGCAGGCAGGCTGATGGTTTGAGACGTGCTTGAGGCTCCTCTCCACAGCAAAAGCCATTTCCTCAGCATCCTCTGGCTTAGTGCTTCTCATGATTGATGAAAATGAGTAAAGAAGGCTCAGAAAGGCCTAAAGGGAGAAAATCCGGGCAAAAGATGCTCAGGTGAGGACGAGAAAAGGCATCTCTGCCCCGTGCTGGCTCTCCAGTGCTTTTATGTAATGGAGCACGTGGCTCCCCACGTTCCTCGTGGGGCTGGACACGGGTTCTCTTGACTGCCAGGCTCGAGCATCTCCCTCAAATGATGTCAATCTTCACTGCACTGGCATTACAGCATCATAAAAAATTACAGAGCTGCTATTTTGGGTAGCAGCTCTCTCCGAGTCAGTGAATAAATGCAGCTCCATATGACTCACTCTGGGGGATTATTAATAGACACAAAAGCAGAATGCCAAAACCCCAGGAATATGCTCTGTTCCCACATGCAGCTTTCTAGCTTCTTGCAGCAACTGCTCTTGAGAACTCCTTGTCTCAAAATGTAATTTAATATACATATTATATTAAAAGAATTAAATATATAAATTTTTCGTTGAACTCCACCTCAAAGGCTTTAGCAGGAGCCATTCTGCAGGGATGAAGGACGGCTGCTCCAGGCTCCCAGGCTCCAGCCAGGATGACAGAGCAGCAGGGTGGAGAAAGGAAGTCATTTCAAGAGAGAAGAATCACAGGCTTCTCCATTTGCTGCCATGGGTGTCCACGAAGGTTGGTGTTGGCTTTTATGAAGTTCACAGTCCCACATGTGTTGATGATGATGATGATCCTGAGGATGATGATGGTGACTGTCCCATCTTCAAACTCAAGTGTTGCGTTTCCCTGGATGTCAAGGGTAGATGTGTGTAGCTAAATTGAAAGAAAATAATATGATTTTTTTATAAAGCAAAGACATGAACATCTTTGAGTTCTGTAAACTTTCCCATCTTGAAGTACCCTGAGCTGGGGCTTCTTTCCCTTTGCCACAACAGCACAGTAACAATAATAGGAATTTTACTCAGTGTTTACTCAACTTTTTGCATGTCTGATCTCCCCAGCAACAAAGCAGATAAGGTGCCCTTCCAAAGCCATCCCTGCATTTCTTGTCTCCTCTTCCCCAAACACCTACAGAATTCAATTAAACAGAGAGAGATTTCAGCCTGAAAAAGAAGAGTTGCCCAACAGTACCAGGACCCAAAGCAGGGTCTTGAGTGTTCAGTTCTTCCAAAAGCATCTTCCATAAAGTCACTTTGGCAGAAGTGCCATAAATCTGTGCTTTCTCAGTCAACACCCTAAGAATTGCTTCTACCATACAGCGACCTTGGCTGAGATCAAAGCTTTTGACTTTCCAGAGTGCAAGTGCCATTACTTCCCCCCTGGGCTGGGGCTGGCCCAGACAGGTACGAGCTCCTTCAGCACAGGGATGCTGCTCCCATCACCTGTGTGTGACTCCCCAGCACCCCACAAAGAACCTGAGTCAGGGCACTGGCTTTACAGTCACGGAAGCCCAGAATGGTTGGGATTGAAAGGGACCTTAAAAGTCATCTTGTTCCATGGGCAACGTGGAACAAGGTTCTCTCCTGCCATGGGCAGGGACACCTTCCACTCTCCCAGCTTGCTCCAAGCCCCATCCAGCCTGGCCTGGGACACTCCCAGGGATCCAGGGGCAGACACAGCTTCCCTGGACACCCTGTTCCAGTGTCCCACCACCATGGTGGAACTGGAAACCACCCTTTTTGTGCAAAGCCCATATGACATTTGCTCTTTGACAGACACACACATCACCCAGCCTCTCCTATCCTGAAGGTCTGGTGTGTCAGCCAGGCTGATCTGGAGTTGAGTCACTGCTAACTCCATAATGAAAATGACAGGAAATTACTGTTTTACAGACCTGGTAAAACCAAAATAGCTGAGAACAGAATATTCATCTCCAGACTGATTCTCGTGTGATGACAACGATGTCCTCGGAGCTCAAACACCGGAACTTCATCAACTCCTTCACTCCTGAATCATCGTCCAGAGTTTAAATACCTGTTGTACTCTGAGGCCAGTCATCAGCCTGGGTGTTCTTACACCAAGAAAGAGGCACAGCACAAAAAATCCTGGGATGCTGCTGATCTCTCCCCTAGAGCTGTGGCAGCACCAGGTGCCATCCAGCTGCTGTGCTCAGAGCCCACCCCAATGCACACAGATGAAGATGAAGATTTCACCTCTAGTTAAAGCACTGCTGCTCCTGCTGTCTGCAAGGGCATGGAGAGGTGCACTGAGTCAGCCTGGAGCTGTGCAGCCCAAAGGGCTTGTGGCAGGGATCTCTGTGACACAGAGAGCTCTGTTCTGCTGGATCCTGGCAGGGAGATCTAAATTCAAAAAGAGTCAAACCTCTGACTGAATGCAAGGGAAGAAATTAATGTTATTTGGGGGGTGGAAGGGGAACTCCCAGTAATTAAGCAAGAGATACAACACAGCCCAAGGCTGGGCCTGGGGTGGGCAGCAGCTCCCCAGTTCCCCTCCCAATGCTCGAGGCAGGCTCCAAGGAGGAAAACCAGCACCACTCAAAGGGCTCTGGACAAAGGAGAAAGCACTTCAAGGAAAGAAGGCTGATTGCAAACCCCCTTCACCACAATTTTCTCCAAGATCCCAGAATACAATGTGGAGCTCAGGAAATACAGCATCAGCCTCCTACAGAGAAGTTTGGCCCTCAAACCACTTCCCTGGCACTTCTTTTGAGAGGAACCTTGAAATCCCACTTACAGAATCCAGATAGGAGCAAGTTTTCCTTCTCTTCCCAGCCTCCTCTTTTCCAGGCTGCTGAATGTATTTGAGCACAGCAAAGCAATGGGAGGTAGAGCTCCAAGGAGAGATGCATTCTCAGCCAGAGTAATCTGCTTATATTATTACAGACCTTCAGCTGCCACATATATTTAGACTTATTTCTAACAAAATCTGCCAGGATTTTGCAAAGGTGGAAGAATTCCAGCAGGTTCCAAACTTCCTGCCCACTCTAGTGCCTCCCAGCCAGCAACACAACAGCCTAGCCAGCCTTCACACAGATTGCCATCTACTGGTCCAGCAGCCAGGCTGGAATTCATCCAGAACTCTAAAGCACCTGCAGCTGGTTGGAATATGAGCACAGGTAAGATGGGAATTGCTTTTCCTCTCCCACAAAACCTCCACTGAAGTGCAGGTCTCCAGTGCCAGCAAGCAGCAGCACTGAAAATATGAAATAAAATAATTGTTAAAACTAAGAGGTGGCAGAAAGAAAGACCACGATGTGTCTAACACAGTGTTTGTGTGGGGACATTTACAGACAAGATGTTCAGCACCTGGACAAGGAAACATTTCAAAAGAACAGACCCAACCCCTTCACTCCACTACTGTGAAAGCTTTCCAAACTGCTTTGCAGAGAAGGGTTTGTGGGACCAAGCCCCAGGACTCTTTATTAATTGAAGTGTTTTAAATAATTGAAATGCACAATCTCTCGACTTTCCCAAGCATAGTCACCTGCTCAAGAGCTGGCATAAATTATGGAAAAAAAATCATATCCAGGAGGAGAGCACCATCACGTTGAAGAATTCATCACTGAGAAGTGCCACACCCCAGGAACAGGGATGTGATGGGAGGGAGGCAGAGAAATTCTGTCTGCAGGGAGGTCAGGACACTTGGGAGGGGCTGCCTGGCCAATGCTGCTCAAACGAGCAAGGATTTAGGGAAATCACCGTTGGCTGGTGGGTTTTGACCATTAATAGGATAAAGCTGAATATGCCATATTCAGGACCCTGACACTGAGCTTTTATAGGGGAAGCTGTTGAAGCTCTCAGGTTGTCTGAATCCTGGAATACAGCAACCACTGGGCTCACACTGAGGCTGCCAGGGGGGCCTGCAGAGCTCAGAAATAGATTCTGCCTCTAGGAAAGAGGTTGATTTGCAAAATCCAGTGCAGGGATGGCAGCAGGAGAGAGCTGCAGATATTCCGGGTACAGCACAGTCCTGATGGGAAATGAAATCTTCTGATGTGGGCTGGCCAGCCCCACCCAGAGCAAACATCCAGGGAAACTCTTCAGTCAGGAAATTCAGCAATAACTTAAGAGATTTGCAGAGGTCACAGGTGATCTTTGAGGGGCTTAGATCCTTTAGAGGGATCTGATTTTTAGAAAGCCCAGTGAAAAAGGGCCAATATTTGGGCTGAGTGCCCCACTCAAGTGTCAGCCACATCCTCAGAGATATTGTTAATCCACCCTCACTCTGGTCACACCCATCCCACTGAAATCAACTGAAATCAACACAATGACAGCAAACTACACTGACACAGCTTCTCCACTGGATGCAGTGCAAACCCTGCCCTCAGAAGGGACAAATATCAGCACAGGTAACAATCTTCTTTGAAATAATAAATACAAAAGCTGTATTTTTTTTCCTTTTTTTTTTTTTAACTCATGACAGCATTTGTTAAAAATATTACATCTGCTTTTGAGAAGGTAATATCCTCTCCATTTAATATGGAAAAATAAACTCTACAGGACACACAACACATCCCCCCAGTTGGCACAGAGCTGCTTTAAGAGATCAGATCCACGGGACACATCAAGGCAGAGGAGAGGTTTGGTCTTCCTTGTCCCCAGACTCTTAAAACATCGTGTTGTAGGAATGGTAAAAGACAAGAATACATAAAAACAGTAAAATGTTTATTTTCTTAGAAAAAAAGAGATTCAAAATGATTGTGATCACACTCCCATTCGTGCTCAGCAAAGCCAATACTGCAAGCTTAGTCCTTGATTAAGATACCTTTTAAATGAAACTTTTTTCCTCTTAAAATACAAGTTCCTGCTCCTGTATCACTTCCAGTATTTCAGTGATAACATGCTTTTAAAGGATAATAGTTTCTCAGCTTCTTCTCAGCTGAGAAACAAGGCCTGCCATAGCAAAAACATCCCATCTCCAAAGCTTGGAATCACCAGCACTAAAAAGCACTCTGGCCCCAGCACGGATGGACACACAGCTCAGGGGTGTTTCTTAGATGCTTGGATGTTCACTTATGGAAGTTTGGTATAACACTACCTCATCTGATAGAAAATAGGCCAGAAGCCTCCATAAAATCAACAAGGTCTTTTGGATTAACTTTTAAGGATTTGCTGCGTATCTGGACACAGAAAAAAGTGAGAAATTGCAACAAGTTTTAACTAGCAGCAACAAAAACAGTTCCTTAGGAGTTCTTAGCAATATTCCTCATGTGTTCATTAGGAAACACTGTAACTGAATGGAGCATATAATGTGGAAATGGTCTTCTTCTGTTATGGAGTGCTGTTCACTCGAGCAAACGTCCCAAAGGTTGTATCCAGAGGCTGGGTTGGATCTATTTACACTGGAGGTGCTCCTGGGGCGAGCGCAGAGCTGGCACTATGTGACATCCTCCTCCTCTGAACAGTAGTCACGACCCTGAAGAGACAAAGGCCAGGCAGTTGGTACACAGAGACAACAAACAGGAGTAAATGCAGGGAACACTCGCTGAGAGCAGCTCTCCAAACCTGGGGGGTTTAAGTTCAGAGCTGGGTAGAAACCTTAGACACAGGGAATTTGTGGGAAACCAGGATAGGAGACACTTCCCTTTCTGTCACTATTAATCTCATAAACATCATCCCCCATAAACTGAATTGCAGGGGGGAGGGGGGTCCAACAAACTGATTTACAAACCTGCTTTATGTAAAGATCCACCTTGCTGGTCACAGCCCCGAGATTTGTTGTGAAAGGATAATCTCCGAGGCAAAAGCAACAAAGCATATAATCCTATGAGCAACACAAGGCAGCTGCTGTGAACAAGAATCCCTCATCTGATAACCCCAGCAAAAGTTTAACCCCACAGCAAAAGATGCCATTCATATTGAAATTATGCTTGTACTACAGGGGATTCAGCCTAAGCTTCACAAAATATGGTTTTCTTATCAGACCAGTCATGTTATGCCTTCTATCCCATCCCAAACACAGGTGTGGAGCAGCATTTCTCTGGGTATTCCCCTTGGGATGGTCTGGAGAAGGCACATCCCATCCCTCCCTACCCAGTTCTTGCAGAGCAGCAAGAAAGGATCTGCTGGGAGCCACTTTCCTTGCTGCCCTGCACAAAACCAGCTCTTCAGTACAAGCCACCCAGAGCATCCTGCATCAAACAAGTGCCTCAAATGCAGGATCCAAAATCTCTGGACTATTTCCCGTTGTTCCTGTGTGCTGGAGCACTGAGGCACCTGAGCACCTGGAGAAGGAAAGCCAGAAAGGAGAAAAAAAAAAAAAAAAAAAAAAAAGGAGAGATGTTTCTTAACAGAAATCAGTTTATTTGGGACACACAGCTGGTCTGCACACCAGGAACCAAGGCTCCAAAACATCTCTGCAGTCCCTGGGCTGATGGGAGTGGGACTTTTGTAGACAGGACTCTTTAGCAGATATCCACAGAACGCCATGAGTGTTTCTAAAGGAGTGAGTAAATTTAGGGTAAATTAAAAAGGAGCCTGATGTTCTTTTCCTGCTGCCTGCAACCAAACCAGAAGGACTCATCCCCCATCTCTCCCTTGCTGGCTCCCCTCCTGATGCCCCTCCAGAGGATGCATCACAGCTCATGATATCCTTTTAGGGAATAAAAAGAGAAAGGATAAAATGGCAGGAAAAACGCCTTTTTCCCATTGTGTGGGTGACAAGCCAATAAACAACTCTGCCTGGCTCAATGGCCCCTTGTGCTGGAGGACTGGGCCGGGCAGGGGAGGGACAGGAGGATGAGGATGGAGGGAAGCAGGGGAGGAAAAGCAGAGAGAGGGGCAGGAGCTGCAGCCAGCAGCCCTTTCTCCTTGGGGACAGTGGCCCCTTTGAGGACAGCCCTCGCCCCGCTCGGCGCTGGGAACCCTTTTCATCAGCCTGGCTTTGTTTACAGCGCTCTCAGAAAGGACGGGAAGAAAATGCCGGGAGGCGGCACTAAATCATTGTGTACTGTGCTAATTTTTGTCCGTTTCTCATTTTGTTAGGGAAAAAAATCAATGGAGTCATTAAGAGCCATGCACTGTGCTAATGAGTTTCAGCCTAATCACTGTGCCCTGCACAGGCTGGCTTGGCAGCCCGTTCCCAAGGGCCATCCCTACAAGGAGCTGCTTTGTGTCCGCTCCCCCTTCCATGCCCAGCCTCACTAACGAGGGGTGCCGGGCATCCTTCCCAGGGCTGGGCATCCTCCCACCAGGGCACCAGGTGAGCAGACTGCAGGAGAAATCCCTGCACACCCACCCCGACACCAGCGCTGGTGCTCAAGACCAAGCTGACCCACAGTGACATCCCCATGGGGACGGCAACACCATGTCCCAGGCTGGGGGCACCCATCAGAGTCCACAGCAACACTTCTTCACATTCCTTAATCTCGTTTTTGTCCATGAGCATGTTGGCATTGTGATTATTTTTCACAAACCACTGTAGCCATTTAGGAGACAGGTTATGATGATGGGACCAATGATGTTTTCCTCTGGTACAGCTGCCCAGGATGGTTTTCCCATAGTCCCTTTTGAACCACAAACTCAGAGGTGATTCTCTTGTAGGGTTACAATTCCCAAATGAAATCCCAGGAATTGCTCGTCAATTGTTCCATTACCCCTCAGCCTTTTTCCTACAGGGAGACAGTCACCTATACACTCTGCCACAGCCTCATATAATAAACACACAATTCAAGGAGATCATCCCTCCAGACCATTGCACTCTGTGTACAATTCAGAGACTGCATTTGTTTTTTCAACTATTTTCCAGGACAGCCATCATCATCAAGAAGTTTTTGCTAGCAAACACTAAATGGGTAAATTTTTCACAGTTAACACTTTATATGTTGTAGCTTTTAATTTTTATTTCTATTTATTTCATGCAAGCCCTGGTGGGACAAGGCCCCTTCAAGGCAATGGATTTGAGCTCTCAGGGCTGTGCCCAGGATCAGCTCTGCTCTGAGCCACCCCGTGCAATTCATGGAATCCCAGAAGGGACCTTAAACCTCATCCAGTCCCACCCCCTGCCCTGGACAGGGAACCTTCCACTATCCCAGCTTCCTCCAAGCCCTGTCCAACCTGACCTTGGACACTGCCAGGGATCCAGGGGCAGCCACAGCTTCTCTGGGCACCCTGTGCCAGGGCCTCACTGCCCTCCTCTCCCAGGGAAGAATTTCTTCCCAGTATCCCATCCAACCCTGCCCTCTGGCAGTGGGAAGCCATTCCCCCTTGTCAAATGGTACTCCAGGCCCTTATCCCAAGTCCCTCTCCAGCAATAGGTGTATAATAGGTCTATGTCCTCCCTGTGTTGCCATTTCTTTCCAGGGAGTAACGTGAAATTTGCATGCTGGCCTGTGGAATCAGAGTCCAAATAAATACGAGATGTAGAAAGAAGAAGAAAACAACCAAAGTCTGGAGAAACAGGTTAATTTTTCATTGTGTGTTTCACAGCAAATCTTTTGGGGTCCAAATGCAACATCTGACTAAATTAGTCCTTGATCTCTTCGATTAGAGAGAACTCGGGTCATTAATTCACTTGCCTGAATACCAACACAAATGGCCTGATACCAGGACATGTTTCTATCTTCTTAAATCAGAGCTGATAGTTCAAAACCAGATTTATCCCACCATAGGAGTGCAGTGATTGTCCCAGTCCCAGCTGCAGCCAGTGGAGCCCATTCCTCCTCTGCTGGGCACAGCAGATCTCAGATTTATCCAGAAGCAGCAGAGTTTCCTTTAGGAGGAGTTTTCAGTCACTCCCTGCTTCCTTCTCCAGTTTCCAAAGCCTTATTTCTGTGTATTTCTGCCTTCATCTCTCAGGTCAAGCAAATCACTTGTACTCCTGACCCACATCTTTCTAATTTACTCCAGGGAATGCTCTCCTCGAGCTTAATTGCTGCTATTACCTGTTACTCATCCTCTACTGGAATATATTTCTCTGATTTCAGGCTAATTTTCAATAAATGATGATAAGGTTGACAGCAGATGAGCTGCCTCCTTCCCACAGCCTGTCTCTGTTCCATTTTCCCCTGAAGTCTGGAACACATGTGCTTTTTGTCTCCCAAAGCAAAGCCCGTGACTCTACTCACAATAAACTCAGCGAGTGGGGAGCCCCAAGGGGTCTGGCTGCAGCTGCTGACAGATGTTGGGAACATTTCTCCAAACCAACCTGTAACTCTGGCTCTTGGGAGCATTTTTACCTCTAATTCTGGAAGGACTGGGTTGACTCCAGCAGAACCAATATCTAAGTCTACACCTGAGGCTCTCACATTCTCAGTCAGTCCTACCCCAGCCCTCATCCCAGTATTTCTGCCTTCCAGCAAACCCTCTGAATGGCATTCCCACCATCACAGGCAGTTCTGTATCCACCAGTTCAGCTCCAGCTCCTGAAGCAGGGACAGGCTCACTCAGAGACAGAGCAGATGTCCCCCTCTGAACGACTCACTGTGTTTTGATACTGAATTTTGGTAGACAGAAGTTCCATGCTTCACGACATTCTGTTTTTTACCTTCAGGTGACATCTGCAGGAGGCAGTGGAGCTTTGTAGGGTCAGCCAGCAATGCACTTCTGGGGGCAGAACTTCCAGAGAAACTCTCCAGACTGTTTCAATCAGGCTTTTTTTGATCTCCAGGACTCACAAATACTTCCTGTTTGCAGCTGACAAAACACCAGCCCTTTCCATTCTTTCCATTTCACTCTTTGCCTGCAGGAGTTTTATTTCAGCTGCCCTCCCTGCTCACGGGATGGCTGAGCCAGGTCCAAGCACCCATGTAATGTTCCTGCCTGCTGCTCACATGTCAGAGCTGTTGTTGGTCACTTGGATTTGGTGACCCAGCACCCCTTGGGATCTCAGTGGAGCTGAGGGTGTTTTGCTCCTGACTGGAGTTTCAGCAGCACAGCCCACGGAGCAGCATCTCCATCACAAATCCAACAGGCACGGTAACCATGGGAACACCACAGCTGAGGTTTGGGACCACAGGCAACACCCCCCACACGTCCACAGACTTCTTCAGCTGCCACTGGTGAGCTGCTCACTGATACAATTCTGAATGTTTGACTGCTGTCCTCCATCTCCCTGGAGAAGGGACTGGAAATGCTATTTACAGATCAGACAAAACCCTTTATTATATTTTCCAATCTTTCTGGCATTTGTGACAACGCCTAGAAAAAAAAAATGTGTTGCCAGCAAAGATGAATTAAAAACCCCAAAACTTCTCTTATGAAGACTATTTCTTCAGGCACAGGAGGGCCCCAGGGAACACAAATCCCATATTCAGCTGTGTGTTAACTCCTGCCAATCCCATCAACTGTCAGCAACTCAGTCTCTTTGACAGATAAACTATGGATTTCCTCTGAACAGACAATCTCCTGATCCCAAAAATAAATTATCCCCAAGATAAATTACCCCTGGAGATCATCTGGGAACATCTCAAGTGGATCTGGAGACAGGGTCAGCTGCCCCTCAGCATGGCAGCTGGGGAATGAGGGTGTTAGTGCCCTGTCACAGACCTCAGGAACAAAAATTAACCAAAATTCATAATTATATACAGCCTGATGGCATTGTCTGGGCTGCAGATAAGATACATCTTTGGAAAATCCATTTCACTGGAGATTCTGTGCTCAACATTATGGAAGGTGATCATGTCCAGGAAAAGCATCTGAATATTCATGGGTGAATGCATTTATTCAAAGGAGATAAAGTTATACTATGGATATACAGAACTTCTACTTTTAAATGCATTAGGTTACATAAAATCTGACCCCTGTGAAATACTAGATACAGAAATATTCTTCTCAGGAATCTATGAACTTCTCACTTTTATTCTTCCCCTTTATGTCTTCTTTTTTTTTTCATAATTTTTATTTTTTAAGAGGAAAGTAACAAATGTGTTGCTTGGGACAAATACAAGATGCACCCACTGTAGCACTCTGACTCCTAGGACCAGGAGTGCTGCCAAACCAGCAGAAGTTCAGAGCCATGCAAGTAAAAAATTCCCTTCTACTCTGCAGCCCAACATGACAACTTATAAGAATAAAATAGAACAGAAAAGAACAGAAGAACAGACTAGACTAGAAGTATTTCAGTTGCAGGGGACCTACAGCCTGAGCACTTCAGGGCTGACCAGAAATTAGAACGTGTTGTTAAGGGCATTGTCCAAATGTTTCTTGAACACTGACAGGCCTGGGGCATCCAGTAGCTCTCTGGGAAGCCTGTTCCAATGTCTGACTTCCCTTTCCATAAATAAATACTTCCTCATATCCAGTCTGGATCTGGGAGTACAAATTGGTGTACTGCTACTGAGGAAGCAAATATTTAATGTAAAGTATTAAACAAGATGCACGACTCCCAAACAGGCAGTGTAAAGAGTAAATTGGTGTGTGAACATCAGTCCCCCCATCTCCTTCAGCCACTCTCAGTATGAGCTGTGCTCCAGCTCCTTCATTGCTGTCTCACAAAGAAGACAAGGGTGTCATTTAAAAGGTTTCTGAAACACACAAAAGCTGCTCTCAGGAAAGCTGAGATATGCAAAGAATTATTCATCCTCTTCTTCAAAACATCTCCAGCACCATTATTTCCCTGGCAGAGCCCTGGGGCAGGGTTGCCCACATTTACAGCACAGCATCCCTTGGAGCCAGTGGCTATTTCGAGGAGATTCAGCAAGAAATTCCTGGGGTATCCCAGCTACTACCAGCATTAAGATTCCAGCTGTCTCCCACAGAGATAAGATGAAAGATCAATTCAGCAATGATGTAAAATCCCACTTTGCTCTTCACCTTTATCCAGAAAGTATACCCTGAACATCTGAGTTAGCCTGCCATTAATCCCAGACTGGTGACATTCCCACAAAACAAAGGATTCTCTCAGTACCCCCTGTGAACTCTTTACCTTCCTGGTCTTTGCACCTGAACCACCTAACCAAGGAGCTGGAAGGGAAATTTTGGGCCAGACCCCTCCAAATCATGGAGACCATGGAGAGCTGCAGCAGGCGGGTCACTGTCCTCCCCACAAAGCTGGGAAAGCTGTGTCCACCCCGAGGGACACTGGATGTTTGCATTACTGTGTCTTTACCTTTTCAATCTTTTCATCAAGCATTCTGAAGAATTCTTGTTGGCTTTCGGAGATGTGCATGCTGGAAGGCAAAGGAACAGCATCAGTACCAACAGGATTTTTTCCATTATAAAACAGCCCAGGGTTGTTAAGGGGCACTGGTGTCAGCTTCCACCACCGTGAAAAATATATCACTTTACACTTTCATCTACAATTTTTAATCTTCTTTCCCCTATTTTTTGTTTGCCCACAAAAAATTACTGCATTTAGTTCTGTGTACATGTGCAACCCTCTGTATGGTAACTGGGACCCACATGCATCCAGAGGAGACTGCTCCATTTTCCAGGCTGACTGCAGGAAGTCAATAGCCCAGCACCTCTCCCTCTCTGTCAGGACAGGAGGTTTTCCAGGACAGCCAACCTCCCCACCACAGAATGAGACACCCACAATGTGAGGTTAAAGATGTGGGCTCTTGTCCTGACACTTGTTATGGGGGAGAAGAGACTGACAACTGCTACAGCCTCCTGCCAGGGAGCTGTGCAGAGCCAGAAGGGCCCCCCTGAGCCTCCTTTTCTCCAGGCTGAGCCCCTTTCCCAGCTCCCTCAGCTGCTCCTGGTGCTCCAGCCCCTTCAATAATTTTTCAGCACCAAGAGGCTCAGTAATATGATTTTGTGGCCACACAAGACCACAGGTCCTTCCCCATGGGGAACCTGCAAGCTAAAAACACAGAAAGGATGAGGAGACAAGGGTGAGGATATTTGGGGTGTTTATTTATGTTAAGGGACGTTGAGAGTCTCCCTCCTGCACTAACACCCCTCCAGGAAGGTGAGGCTGGAGCATCCTCTGGACAGCAGCACGGAGGAGCACAGGGGGCTCGCAGGCAGCTGGGGAAATGTGCCAGGGACTCCATGTGCAACACAACAAGATGCAAAAAAGGGAGGATGGGGACTGGAGCCAGTGGCAACAATGATGCCAACCGGTCTGAAGGACACACAGCTCTTGGAGATTTTCCCCAGCACAGAAAGCTGGCTCGGCTTGCTTAATTCCCACCCATCCCCTCTTCCTCCCAGTGATCCTTTCAGCTGTAGTGAGTTAATGCTCACCCTGAGTGCCCAACAACGAGCTGCACTTCCCCACAAAGCTCAGCATTGAGGCCTCCCTGCTATCGGCTGAATGTATACAAAGATCTGCTTATGTGGGACATAAATGAAGCTCAGTCACAAGAGGAGGGCTCAGAAATGGCATTAAAACCTAAAGCTGGCAATTCAGGAGCAGGAACAATTCACCTTTCAGTGGTTGAGGGAGTTCTTGTGCCCAGCTGTCTGCCTGTTCCTCAGGTTCCCACCTCCACCTCAGATGGGGAAGAGATGCTTTTTTGGGACAGCTGACCCCATCACCTGCATATTCAGGTGCCTTGGAGAGGGATTTTAGGGCAGTGCAGCCCTTTCTGAGTAGGCAAGTGCTTGAAAAATAGTCTTGCTTTTACAACATCATAAATCCAGTTTCTAATAAAATGAGATAATACTGCAGTGACTCATCCCAACCATAATTCATAAGAAAACTAAAAGAAGGCAGAGGGGAAAAAAAAAAGGAGTATTGTGTAGTCATATTCCTGAAAATTCCCACAGGATAATCTGGTCTAGTGGCAGGAGTCCTTACCCACGGGCAGGGAGGTTGGGTTAGCTGATTTTTTATGTGCCAACCCAAACCATTCTGAGAGTCTGTGATTTGGCAGGGTAAAACTGGTCTGAAATAAACACTTTCATTTTATGCTTCAGGCTGCTGTCAATCCCTGAGTTATGAACTTGTCCCAGGGTACCTGGTGGTTTGATCATGCAAGGTGTCAGTGGGGTGAGGTTGGTGATGAACAGATAGAGCAAGTGCCTCTGAGGCTGGGGCAGGGTACCAGGACTGGGTGTAAAGAGGAAGGACCAACCCTTCTCCCTCAGCCAAAGACTCCCATAAAGCCACTGCTGGCTCCCTGCATCCCCTGGTTTTAGAGTCCAGGGCTCTGGATGGAAAAATCTAAATCCTCCTGCAGGGAGAAGAGCCCTCACAATCTTCCTTTTCAGCTGACATCAAAATATTGTAAAAAAAATTGTAATTTGGTATTTAGTCCATGTTCTGTTTAGAAGTAATATCCATTGTACCAGAGCAGTACTATAAGATGCATCTAATGATCTATCTATTAATTTCTGCTCTTCCAGCTGAGTAGACCTTTTCCACCCAATGCCACCCCACCCTGCAGTCAGAATTGTCATTGTTTTTAGATGATAAACCTTAAAAAAAAAAAAATACTGGACATTATAACAGCTGTTTGCTGACTTGGCAATTAGCAACTCAAACATGTGGCCATTTCATAAACAGAAATGCAGTGGTAGGTTGGGCAAATAATGGAGGATCTACCCAAAAACCTTATGTTACATTCTCCACCTCTCTGGGAAGTTTCCTTACTTTTGCAGATCTGTGACAGAAATATTTATCTCTGTCCATGCAATGCAAAAATAGGCTTTTTGGTCAGTTCTGATTTCTGCAGGGACTTTTCAAATTAGAGTTTTATGAAGAGATGGAAGCCCTGGCCCCATGCAATTCCTCTGCTGTGGATGTACCAAAAGATGACCCACCAAAAGAAAAGCCCTTTTTTATCCCAGAGCAATTAGCCTCATATTAGAGCATCTTAAATACATCTCTGACCCTGCAGGGAAGGACTGAGCCACAATAACAAAGTACAGCTTTGCTGAAGAGTGCTTCTACCTCCACCTCCCTACCATTAATTTCTGTGCAATTACATCCAAAGCACTCGGCTTTTCCCTTTGAAAAGAGGCTGAATTAGGAAATAACTAAAGTTTCCAGACTTGAAATCATGTTCAAGGCACTTGATAGGCAGCAAGTTTAAGTTAGTAAGTGCCCTGAGGGCAGGGCACAAGAAACAGAATTTCTACCGGTGCTCAAAACCCAAATCACAAACCTTTATCACTTGTTTTCCACGAGCCCTATATGTGGCTCTGTGTAATCTGTTATTTCTCAGCCAATTAGTGATTAAAATGTAACACTGAGCTAGAAAAGAAGTGAGTTACTACTATCAATAACCAGCTCTGCCCCAAGAGACAAATATTTCCTGTAACACTGACTCTGCCAAGCAGAGCATGGGCACAGAACTGCCAACCAAGCAGGGAAGAACTCGCAGCTACAGAAAAACCTTTATTTTAACAACCTGACCATTCCCACACCCAGGCAGAACAGCTGCTAATCTAAACCAGGAGCTAGCAAAAACCTCCCTGGGACTGACCCAGTTGTATTTAGGAACACTGGTGGATATAGAGAAGTTTGTTCTGTGTAAGTTGTATAGAAAGCTGAGAAATAGCACAGGGTCACACAATGGGATGCATCTCACCTTTTTTCAAGTCCTGCATCTTTGCTGTGCAAAGGAGAGGATGTTTTGGGACACAGGTGATCTTACCTCTAGTCCCTAACTCAGCATGACTTTAGGGCTGCTGGAGTCATCATTTGGTCTTTGCTGCACAGCAAGTGTGAACCTCACAGACACTGCTTGTGTTTATTTGTATTACGACTTAAACAACAGAAATTGAACTTACTTTGCTCTGGGTTGATGTACTAATCCTGGGATCTCTTTGTTAGATTTGAGTCTGGCGTTTGAACTGGCACTTTTTTCCTGAAACACACAAAAGGCACACAGCAGAGATAGCATCAGTATTTACTGAGCACACAAAGGGTGACAGGCATTTGTCATCAGGGTGTCACACTCGGCTGGGTCCAGGCTCTTTCTGCCTGCACAACTGAATGAGAAAAGCTCAGCGAAAATGAAATTAAAGGTAACACAAGAGATGAAATTACCTAGGTGGGCAATTTTTAAACGCCCTGGGCTTGGTGGCAGGCGGAATTGCCTCTGGGTCACTGGATGAAATCCAGGGATCAAACTCCACGCTGGCCGGCAATTCTCCAGCGGTCCATGGAAAATGAGGAGTGCTCATATCATACAAATCAACAACAACGCCAGCCTCCACCTTCAGCAGAGCAGGGCAAAGCACTGGGAAGGCAGTCCCAGAGCCACCCAGCACTCCCAGGCTGGCTCAGAACAGAGTGGGGAACCATCAGCACCAAGGACCTGTGTGCAGGAGGAAGCAGGAGCCAAATGTGCCAGAGAAGAGCAGCAATGGCAGACGTGACCTGCTCAGCCACAAAGTTGGGCACAGGGGGCCCAAGGAAGCAAATCAGCTCTGGAGAGCCCAAAAATAAGGATGGGGGGCTGCTGGAGAGAGTCCAGGGAAGGCCACAGAGATGCTCCAAGGGCTGGAGCCCCTCTGCTCTGGAGATGGATGGAGAGCTGGGGGTGCTCACCTGGAGAAGAGAAGGCTCCAGAAAGACCTCAGAGCCCCTTCCAGTGCCTGAAGGGGCTCCAGGAGAGCTGGAGAGGGACTGGGGACAAGGGATGGAGGGGGGAAAAAAGGGAAAATGGCTTCCCACTGCCAGAGGGCAGGGTCAGATGGGACATTGGGAAGGAATTGTTCCTTGTGAGGGTGGGGAGGCCCTGGCACAGGGTGCCCAGAGAAGCTGTGGCTGCCCCTGGATCCCTGGCAGTGTCCAAGGCCAGGTTGGATGGGGCTTGGAGCAACCTGGGCTAGTGGAAGGTGTCCCTGCCCATGGATGGGCTTTAAGGTTCCTTCCAAGACAAACCAGTCTGTGTTTATAGATAAGAACACAACCCTGTCCTTTGCAGAGGACTAGAAACATTAAAAACATCTTTTAAAAGGCTTGGGAGGGGAAAAAGAGATTTGAGAGGTAGCACTGCTTGGGAAGACCACCTCATCATGTCATGAGGTTCTGTAACCCAAAATTTAGTGCACACACATATCTATTATCTCCAAAATCCTTCAGAGGGATACAGGCCCTTCCAGATCTTCCCAGTGCCATGTGTTAGGGAAAGCTGCTGGTGCAGATGGGAGAGGTCTGAGTCAAATCTCAGAGCTCATCCACTCCACAAATCTCTGTGTTTCTTAGGCATGTCACACTCATGGCAATTTAAGAAACATAAACCCAAGAATCAGTGTTTTTGTGGGTAATTTTAGTGGTTTTATTTAGCCTTATTCAGTCTTTGAATGTCTGAATCACACAAGATTTTGGAAAGGGCTACTAAATCACTGAATTGAAAAAAAAAGGGAGGCTGTCTAGCAGTTAATATTTTAATGAATAATTCTACAGGGGCTGTAAACATCAACTGCCTCAGCACATTTAACACTGTTTAATACATATCTTCTAATCGTCCTAACCAGGGAACAGTGCCTTGCATGAAAATAGCAGTGAGAGAGAAACAAGCCCTTCCTCCAAGCCTTAACAAGGCTCTGTGTTGGCTACACCCCACCAGCCACTGCCTGCTCAGGATCCCGTGATATCACCCCAGAGCAGCAGAACAAAAGGCAAATTCACTCTTTTCAAAGCATCTTCTAATCTTAACAGTGCTGGGAGGGTGTGACGTGTGATGAACATGTGTGTACACAGACACACAGCCCATGAGCTCAGGTCTGACTCACACGGCTGTCAAAGCAGAACAAAAGGAGAGGGATGGGTCTCATGGAGAGGACAACAAAGCCATAAATCAGCTAAACCCAGCCTCCTGCACCAGGTGAGCCTTTATTCTCAGATCTACTCCATGGCATGGGAAGGGAAGACTGATGTAGAGCTCCTGTGCTGGGAGCTTTGATAAATCAAGGCAGCACAAACTCAGCTTTCCACAGCTCTCCTTGTGGTCTGGTGTCAGTGCACCTCTATCAGGAGCTGGAATCAGCCCAAATCCCAGCCTAAAGAAACTTCTGGCATTTAGGAACAAATAGAAAGACACAAGAAAAGTGTATGTTGCCTTCTCACTGTGGGCTCCTGAGCAATATTCAGAATATTAACTGACACACATGGGAAAAGAGAAATAAAATTCCTGTGTGGTTGACTTTGAGATTCCAGAGTTTACTCTTTCCCTCCTATTGCTCCTGATAATTACCACACCTCAATTATCTATTACAATTCTCCTGTTCAAGCAAAGAGTATGTTACCTTCTCCATCTGTTGCTCAGCAGGAACAGACAGAAAAGGGAGAGTTAAGAGAAAATAAAACCCAACCAGGTCTCAAATAGGCTCATTGCTTTGTTTATAAATCTTATTTATGGCAGTGATGTTTCACTGCACTGATCGAAATATTGGCTTGGCTAAAAATAGATATTCAAAAATTCTTCTTCCAAATGCAAACAAATAGAATGTTTTTTCCTCATCACGTTGACAAACTGACTTGTCAGAAATTGGCTTGGCTTCTAATACTAAGCTAACAAAACCAGCTTGAAATGCTTAATGAAGTCAGATTGTTCTTCCAGACTGACTTGACTTTGGCTGAAGGGTCAGTTCTTGCAGTCCAACCTCATTTTCTCCCTTATTTAACATTGTAAGTTACCATGCACCAACAGAACCACAACTGGTTTTAGAGACCTAATCTGTTGCAAATTGAAATGAATATGCAGAAGTTTGATTTTAATCTAGCTCTGTTTATAAGGATTATTTAAAATAAATGCAGAAAATACTGCCTCACACCACAGGCTTGAAAGGAAATCCCCCAGGATGCTGCACTTGTAGAGCAGCAGTAGCAAAAAAGGAGAATAGTGGACATTTTATTCCACATTATTTTGCAATTAATCATTATCTAGGTAAGGCTGTCATCCAATCAAGGTGATTTCATGTGATAGGTTTGTTAATTATTGTTAACTCCTCCATAAAGGATGCACCATCTCCAGGATTTCAGGGCACTAACAGATGGCAGTGACTCTGCTGCCAGATGCTATTAACACAGCAACAGCCACTACTGCCATTATAATTAAATATCTGTCAACATTTCCCTTGATGTCTCCCCTCTGATGAACCCATTTCTAGAGACATGTGAACTTCATTTGAAGTATTTTGCTTTTCTTCATAAGGCTGCTACAGATTGACTCAGGTAAACTGCTAACAGTCCTTATAAAATAATATTCCTGATTTCCATCAAGATGACACTTTTCTTCAAAGGAGCCAACAGCACCTTTAAACTGCTTTCTAGACCCAAGCAAATCATCATTAAAGTCACTTAGAGGAAAAATGAAGTATTTGTTTTCTTTTTATACCACAAAATATTCTTAAAAATAATTGTACTTGAAAAGGAGGAACCAAATGTATTAGTTAGAAATGGACCAAATGATGAGACGTAAAATTTCAATATGCCAGCTCATAACCTCACTCATTTTTAACCTCAGTCACAAGCACCAGCCTCAGGTAGTAATATCTCACATGGGCTGTCTGGATCCATCAGGATGAACAAGGCAGAAGCACTGACCTATGAGATTTTATTCAAGTTTCCTTGCTTTATATGTACATAAGGAGTCTTTTTTTGTGCTATCCTTTGGCAGGAAGAGAGCTTCCCTCTTTTTCTCTACCTGGAAGCAAAACCACCTGAAAATGTTATTCAGGGTAATTTTATAACAAAGGGGCAAATCAAACCTGGGAAAATCTCAGATACTAGTCAAAGAAGATTATTCTTGGATATAATTTCATCAGAGGAATCACATTACCCCTGCCAGAATGTGCACAGGCACCCAGTCCAGAAGGGTGTCCTGGCATGGATCACATACACTGGATGGTGCTGACACAGGAGTCTGTTCTCCTCCTCTCAGTATCCACACAGGGAACAAGGAATTATGGAAACCATGGACCCATCTGCCTGAGGATCACTGAACATCCTGACTTGGAATGAAGCCACAGGGACCAGCTCCTGGTCCTGCACAGGACACCCCCAGAACCACCCCACGAGCCTGAGAGCTCCAGATGGACATCACCCCCAAAACAGACACAGAGCCAGGGCTCAGCAGTGAATTCAACATCACAGCACACGGGCAGGACGGATCCTTGTGCTGAGAAGACACCTCAGAAACACATTGTCACCACAGTCCCTTGGCTGTCCTGCTGCCTGGAGCACCTTGATCCTCACAGGCAGGACCTGAAAACATGGCTGTTATTTGGGTGAAGCTCGAGGTCACATTTCATAAAAAAACCTTGTCTTAAACAAAATATTTTATAAATACTCTCGCTGTGTCAGGTCAGTATCTCCTCAGACCAGCATGAAGGAGTTGCCCCACCCCTGTCAGTATCTCCATCCTTGGAGATGTCTAAAATGTGTCTGGAATTGACTCTGGGCAGGAGGTTCTAAATAGCCCTGCCTGAGTCACGGGGTGGCCAGGCACCTGGTGTCACCAGGTGACATCCAGAGGTCTCTTCCAACCTCATCCAGCCTTTAGTTCCATGATAAAGTATAATCAGACCTTGGGAAAATAAAAATCACTTTTGAGTAGATTTGTTGAGTTGTATCCCCAAGCAGCAAAGGGAAAGACTGAGGCCATTCAGGCATGCACAGGGAAGGCAGCAGCAGACACAGTGCCTGGCATTCATTTCAGAAAAAAAACGGATTCTGCAAACGCAGCCAGCATCACACACTGAGTCTGCACTGACACAGGCAGTGAAACCCAGGCTTGGCAGGGAAAAATCCTGTGCTTTCATCAGGGATCCAAACCGTGTTCCAGAGGGCAGACCTCCTCCTAAAACCAGCCACTTAATGGAGCTCCTCCTTCCCAGGGAAATTCTGCTGGAGCAACTCCACCTCCTGGAATGCAATATGGAAGAGCAGCATTCATAAAGCTCCCCCCCTTCCCCCATACTCTAAATGGGATAAAAACAGGTAACAAAGGAGAAATGTGTAAATCCTGAGCAGCTTTATGCAGCCCACCAAAAGGCCTCCATTGCTGAGAAGTTAGGGAATGTTGCTTTCAGTGCTTATTTAAGTCACAGGGGCACACACAGTGGTGCAGTAACATATTTATAACTCTTTTTAAATGCTTTTGAGATGTTAAAAACTACGAAGGGATTATTTTCAGAAGAATATCTAACATGCCCTTTACACTCAACTCAAACTGAAAGAGCTCAAAAATCAGAAAAATCCAGCTGAAACTATAAAGTCAGGGGAAAGAAAGAGAAGAAAACATAAAAGAAGAGGAAGGAAAAAGCTCCCTCTGGAGTGACTTGCAGGACTTCTCCAGCAGTACCTAAATATAGCTCACCCTCAGCCCAAGTCAGTGGCCTCTCAGCTTTGATGGAAAACATCACTGAAGAGCAAGGGATAAAAAAAGGAGGGCAATTCCCACCACTGAATGGTTTTCACAGAGTATATATTTACTAAGCCTAATGGCTACAACTTTCTAAACATCCTCATAATCCTTCCTCACAGTTAATATTAGAAAGTTAATATTAGTTACAGTAATTCCAAATAATTCTGTTGAGCAGCCAAACACCAGGGTTTTGTGTGAAAAGCAGACATGGGAGCAGGCTGGCCTGACGACAGGAAATTAGGGCCAGTAAAGAGATGAAATTACAAACAAGGCACATAAATGATAAATAAATAGTGCCAATAAATCCTGCAGGGAAACTCTTCCCTGCACCTTGCCATCCTGCTCTCTTTCAGAGCTCTGAGCTTTTATCAACCCCCATGTATGTGAATCCTTGTGGTTCTTTATGGCTTGGGACACTAAGGTTCAGAAAAATAAAATCTGGATTTCTATCTCAAAGTTCTTTTCTGCAGATAGACTGATAATCCTCAAGGTGTCCCCTACAGAAAACAAGGGGTGTAATCATTGGTGAAATGCCTCTGTTGTGAAATATGAGGATTATGCTGCCCTGACAATCAGGGTTTTCTGGTTCCTTCAGCCTCTGCAGCACTCTGAAAGGTCAGCCAGGGTAAGAACATGAGCATAGCACAGATAAATAAAGCCAGAAAACACTTGTCTCCAAAAGTGCATGAAATTTCAGGTCACATGGGAAATTACCTTGCTCCTGCAGTGGGAGCCCTGCCCATCCATGTAATAAACCCAAAGAACACAAGCAGGAAACAGAGGAAGGGACATGTCTGCAGGACTGCCAGCAGGAAGGGATTTGCAAAATGAAGATGGGAACATCCCCTCTCCAAACAACTTGGCAGGAGGCTGACAACTCTTCCTCAAAAAAAAAAAAAAATCCAGGTGGCAAGGTGCCTTAGAGCATGAAGAACAGTTGCATCAAAAGATATCCAAAATACTGTAAATAAAATGCTACAGGCAGAAAGGCGACCTGCTCTGCAGCTCTCATTAATACACCCCATCTCCAATGGCTTTGGTACATCAGACTAGTTGAAGCTTTTATCTAGCAAATAAAAAATAGATAGAAAAAAGTTTAAAACTCCATTACTAATGACTTGGAAGACTAGGCTGACTCTTGAGGAAACTTCAGAGAGCATTTGGCAACAAAAAGCACTTGGCAACCTTGAACTTCTGCAGGTATGTTGCTCTTCTGGATCTTAGAGCCACCCTAGATAACAAAACCTGGCTCAAAAATTAATTTTCTGCTTTTTAAGCCTGTGTCATCAACTATTCTGTCTCTCTCACTCAACCAGCTTTTACAAAAATACACTTATTTATAGTAAATGTAGATATTACTCATGCTCCCAGTTCCTCATGCGTGTCTCCTGAAGGCAATTTTCCACCAAGTGCAGCAACACAGAAAGAGCTCACAATGAGCATGAAACAACAGCACTGGGTAAAGTCTGTGAAACATTTACAGCCAGGGACACATGGTGTGAGAAGGAGACAGGGTGTCACGGTATTCCTGCTCCATGAAGGCACCTTGCTGGAATAGCAGGAGGGTTATAGCCACCACCATTTTGCCAAACTTCTTACTAGGATGGTTCTGAAGAGTTTTATGCCCTCCAAACATAGATGAGAGAGCACAGCCAGAGAAGGAGGTGTACCCTGCTTAAACAGCTGGGTCTACATTTACAGCAGCTGTAGAGACTTCCTAAGCTGCTTTCCTAGAGCCAAAACTGGTCTTTTTCAGCCTGTTTTTGGAACATGCTCTACTTTAACCCTTTGTAAAATCAGCTTCCTGAGAGATGCCTTCACATGCAAGCAAAGCCTCCTGAGATCTTCCCGTGCTGTCAAGAACAACCAAGACTGACACAGATCCTCCCTCACTGCCTTAATCCAACGTTTGGGGTTACACTGTAGGATGGGCTCATGGAAATGATTTTGACCACCAAAGAGCCACTTTGAGGAGGAGTTAAAACCAGCTGTTGGTTCCCCCCACCTGCAAACAAGTGTGGTGATGGTGCTTCCTCCTGCAGAGTCTGGAGTTACACTGGTCACTGGCTTTGATCTGTCCCTGCAGGTTTGGGCAGGCTATGTTTATTACATTTTTCTTCTTACATCCAAGCAGTTCCATAAAGTGCACTGACATCCTCCTAGATGTCAGGATAATGACAGTGTCCCTTTAATCAAATGTTAACAGGGAATTTAGCAGGATACACATAAGATGGAACAGCTTGGTGATGAGAGAATTGGGGTGGTTCAGCCTGGAGAAGAGAAGCTTCAGGGTGACCTCACTGTGGCCTTGCAGTGCCTGAAGGAGCTGACAGGAAAATGGAGAGAGACTGTTTGCAAGGGATAGAGTGACAGGACAAGGGGGATGGGTTCCCACTGCCAGAGGGCAGGGTTAGATGGGATACTGGGAAGGAATCCTTCCCTGGAGGGTGGTGATGGCCCTGGCACAGGGTGCCCTGAGCAGCTGTGGCTGCCCCAGCCCTGGAAGTGTCCAAGGCCAGGTTGGACAGGGTTTGGAGCAAACTGGTCTGGTGGAAAGTGTCCCTGCCCATGGCAGGGGGTGGGATAAGATGAGCTTAAAGGTTCCTTCAACCCAAACCACTGACACTTCATTCTATGAAGGTACTTCTCCCCATCTTTTTCTAACCTGGGATTTACAAAGGATGGAACAAGGGAAAACAATGGAAGACAAAAACCTTCTGGGTTTGTTGTTTACAATGAAGAGAAAAACCCAAACTAATAAAAGAAGTGGTGCAAATGAAAATATACTGTTAAGCCATATGTAAGCAGAGTGAAATGGTAGCAAGAAATTATGAATGAGGTAACCCTAAGAAGTGAGGTAACAGAAAACCAAGAGTGGTGCTACTCAGCAATACAAATACATTCACTTCAGGAAGGGTTTGTGCATTCCAAACCAACAAGAATTCCCTACAAAAAGTTCTCATTCTTCCAGCACCGTCCAAGGCTCTAATTTTGAGATTTTCAGTAATTGCAATTATGTAAATGCCATTGCTGGAACATATTTTCAATGTCTGTATTTTGCTTCTCTCAACGTCTGTTTTATTTGCATTAATTCTCAAATTTGCACCAGGCATGAGATTTAAGACCTGAGAGAATGAAGCAACAGCTCCTGCTACATGGCAAATTCCAGCAAGCCTGGGTAAAATGTGCATTTTAAAGGACATAATAGTTGGAATATTATTAAGTATCACATATGTACTATGACACACACAAGAAATATTAGGATTGCAGGAGAAGTCTTACATCTGATCTGTGTGTTTTGTACCATCTTCTCCTTGTTTTAGTCAGCAGTTACTTTGGAACAGCAGAGAGAATGATTATTGTTTCACAGACTATAGTGGCCTGCTCACTTACTGTGTTTCCAATCCTCAGTTGTATAAGCATGGATTTTGCCTGGATTCTCCTAACACATTTATCTGGGAGTAATACTGAGAAGAGATACCACATACATCAGAATCAAAGACAATCATAAACGGTTTAAAAATTTTATAAGCCATTTAAATCTGTAATGGAGGCTGGGTTTTAAGTGTTTATCTCCTCTAAGTTTCCTTGGGAAAAGAGCAGATAAATAAATGTAACTCCTAAGTGCTGGCAAAATGAGGCACCAATGCATTCCAATGAGGATATAGAAATATAGCTCTGATGCTCAGGGTGGTGCAGATTAGAAGACAGCCAAACTAATACTGGGAGAAGAACTAGCCTGAAATTCAATTACAGGCCTGGAAATACTCAAGTCCAACATTTAGGACATGAAGGTTTGGATTCAATGATCTTAAAGGTCTTTTCCAACCTTGATTCTATGATTCTATCAACCCAAGATGACCAGTATTTCAGAGTCCCAAAGTGACTGTATGCCTGTTACAGCCTTTAATACCCATTCTGCTTTTCCATCCTCTTCCCAAAGCCACTCCTGGTAGGTGGGAGAGGACATGGAAAAGACTCAAAATGAGCTCTGCTCTCCTTTCCCAGAAGACAGCAAATCTTTCCTCGAGGAGAAGGTCAGAGGCAGTCTGGGGTGGCTGTGTGCTTCAGTCCCAGCACAGCACAGCCACCAGCCCAGCCAGGGCTGGGATAGAGCTCAGCTCCCTTGGGAGCCATGGAAAAGGAGATACCACAACGTGCAAGATCAGGCAAGCAGGGATGGATCCATCGTTCACCCACAAAATTTCAATGTCTCCTTGATCAGAACATGAAATAGCTTAGTGAAACCCTGCAAGATCAGTCTCCTCAGATCTTCACCTGGTATCAACCATCACAAAAGAAAGATATTTCAAAATACCACCCAACTGCACCACCCCAGGGCATGTATCCAAACCACTTGAACAGATTTCTGTCTAACCTGTTCTCCAAACTCCTATCCCACAGGTTTTCCCAACTATCTTTCATTTTACCACTTCCCTGAAAGTTCAAACGTTTATCCTACTACCCAGCTTTAATCCTTGCCTGATGCCTTCCTGCCTCTCTCAGGAGTCATAGAGAAAAAACGATTGTCGTGCCTTTTAAAGCAACCTTTCCTATATTGGATGACTCGTTTCCTTCTGTATTTTTAGGCTAAACAAATCAATTCCTTCCATCTTCCATTACAGTTTACGTTTGCTAAGTGTCCTATTCTTGTCACTACCCTCTGGCTCCTCCCCATCTGCCCACATCTTTCCTACCAAGCACATTTCCAATTTCAGCCACAGTATTTAAAGCCCCTCTGAAGTCAGGATGGATCACATGCATTGCCATATATATTTTTTAATTTCTGTTTTTAATTTATTACCTCAAACAAGCGAGGTTGACCTACAACAGATACAGGGTACACCTGTAAACTATGCACTCATACTAAAAAAAAATATAAGGTAAAAGAAAGTTGAAGGAGAAATTAGCTAAGCTCACCTTCTCTAATGGCTAGAAAACATGTGTGGTAAGCATTCAAGATCTCTCTCAAGTTAAAAAAGTTGGTGGGGATGGTCTGTCTTCCTGCCTCAGTGCTTGAAATATTAAACAAAACAACTTGATGCTAATAGAAACATCAGGAAGCAAAAAATCCACATGTTCTATGACTCATAGTCCATCAGGTCTTCTTAAAATTAACCAAAATCACAGGCAACATACAAAACAGGTGTTCTTCGATCATTTCAATTTTGCTATCTAATCAAAACGGGCTTCCAAGTCTATAGTTGATTTCCAGCCATTTGCAGACACCAAGTTTTAACACAAGCTTTTCTTTTCAAGTGAGGTGAGTGAAAAGATAAGCACCTCTAAAATTTAACAGGGTTGCCCCATCCCAGGAATGTTGAAAAATGATGGACCAGCATGTCCCAAACACGAAAGCACTCTGCCTGAGTCAGAGGTGCACTCCAATGCGTGGTCATAGGCATAGTACTTACAATGAGAAGAAAATTAGAGTTTAGTATGGATATATGGCCTCATTTTTCACTGCAATGTTGTACTGTTAGCATTCAATTACTTCCCTACACTTAATTAACTCCTTGTTGAATCTTAATGTGATAATGAGAACTTTAATTCAAAGCATATACCACGTCAATGCAAAAAGCAAAAATAAATTTTATTAGATTTTATTTAAGTCACCCGAGCCCCATAATCTCTCTGTCTTTTTATAACACTGTGATTCATATAAAAGCACAGCAGATGCATGAGAACAAGAATCTTCTCTGATTGCCACTAAAAACATTAACAAATAAAATCTATTTTGAAATCAAAACCAGTTGGCTGTGATTAATAGTTCTCACTTGCTCATGTCTCTGCAAACTGAAGAGCAGCAGAGATGGTTGAGGCTCTCTGCAGATCCTGTACCTATGTTCAAGCACCTGGTTGATCATTCATTCTTACAAAACTTTCACCTTTTGAACAACCCACAGCAGAGACTCATGATATGAATCCCTTTCCTGGCATTTCTCTGCCTTACACTTCATAAACTCTTAAAACCAGACTAGAGATCTGCCACACCCAGAACATCAAGACCCAACAAGGAGCACACTTGACTTTCCATCAGGCTCTTCAACTCTGTAAGAAACACCAACAACAAACAGATCATGTAACTTTACAAAGAAAGCTGGAAACACCACACTTGGCACTTAGCAGCCAAATCTAACAATCTGTCAAACCCTAAACTTCCCAACCCGAAGGGTTGCAAAAGTAGTTTTGAAACAAACGGAGGCACAAAATGTGTGTGAGGATCACGTGTTTGACCCACCAGTGAAATGCAGAACTGCTCTAATTCCCTGAATCCTCACAAAGAGCACAGCCTTCCACATCACTTTGGGATGTGGTGGTGTATGTCCTTAACAAAACACAGGCCTAAGTTCACTGTTAACAGCTTTCCTGAAGTAAACTTCAACCTGGGCACACTTTGCTCCTGGATCTGCAAAACAAAAACGCCAAGGACTGTTATATGTCATGGAGGTGTTTCAATGTCCATGGTGCACAGGCCCATTCGCTGCTCTCCTGAATCATGGCTTGCACAAGTCTTGCAGTATGTGCTCAAGACTTACCTAGCAGCTACTAAACGTGATGGTCACAGGAATGACTCCATGCTGGGAGGACTGTGCTCAGAACAGCTGGGTAAGGGAAGGAGGGCCAACAACCCACCCCAGGAACAGCATCCTGTTGGCAAAATTGCTGAAATAACCTTCAGTGGAGAAAGAAAGGGCGAACAGCAGATGGGGATCACAAGATGAGGGCACATTTTATGATGTTTAAACTTCACTTAAACAACAGCCATCATCTGAGTGTAATGAGCAGAAGGAAATAAGTTCCTTTCAGCCAAGGCTCCTGTACTCCTTTCTTCTAAATGAAGAGTCACACATCGCCTAAACTTACAGCTATAAATAAGCAGGTGGTAATGTTGCACTGTCCTAATTAAGTTCTCGGGTCATTAAATCCTTTCTGTTACTATGCACAGGGCTTGCTGCTTTGCCTCAGCCACGGCAAGGCCTTGCCATGAGCTGCTCACCTGAGCTCCTGCCCCAAACCTGAGCTCCTGTGCCCATGGACTCTCTTCTCCAGCCCTCACAGGGACCTTCCTGCTGCTTGGCAGCACCAAGTGAGCAATCTGCCATCATGGGAATCCGACTGGGATGGTTCTCAGCTCTCTCCCCCGTCTCCTCACTTCTGAACGGGCACATCAAGCTGCTCACTCTGCAGCTGGGGTGCAGGGAACGCTCAGGATGTTGTCAAGGCTTATCTGGGAAGACAAACGCTTAGATGATTAGGTAGTCTGTTCATAATCCTCAAACTCAGAGTTTAGTTTAAGCCCCAAATTCCTGGGGCTTAAAATCGCTTTCAATTAATTTTAATATTAGGCACGTTGGGCCCCAGGGGAACGGCACAGCCACCACCATGGACACTCAGCACATGCTCTCCTGAACTGACCAGAAACTCTGGCCAGCAGTAAAAACACAATATGTGTTCTGAGAATATTTTTCAATATCTAAAGGTATTTATTTTCCTCTCAGCAGGTCCTTCTTTCATTAAGAGTGCAACTTCACAGTCAGTTTGGAATCATGGAGTGGTTTGGGTTGGAAGGGACCTTAAAGCTCATTCTTATCCCATCCCCTGCCATGGGCAGGGAC